ACGGTGAAGCCCGTCAGCAAGTACCTTGAGGAGATACTTCAAGTTCTCCAGGACATGACAAACAATGAAAACAAGACCAGTGAAACAAGAAGTAACGCAAAGAAACTGCATAACCGCATGCTGAGTTACGATTTTCTGACTTTGCTAGGATTTTGGAACAAAGTACTCGTTCTCATTGACCGTATTCAAAAGAGACTGCAGGATTCTAGCATGAACTTCCATGATACTGCCCTGAATCATTTTGATGATGAAAAGAGAAGTGTTGATCAGTGAGTCACTCGAAGAAGGACTCGGTCTTTGTCAGGAATGCAATATTGAAGTTGAAAGACGTCAATGACGAAAGAAACGAATGACTGATGAGAACTCGAGAGACGCTGAGTTAACAACCAAGGAGGAAATGGAAAGGGTCATGAAGGGAACACTCGACCGTCTTCACAGAGAAATGAATGAAAGATTAGCTCGTTTGCACGACACTGACGCCAAGTTTGGGTTCCTTCTCGATGTCGAGGGACTGTGTTACGGCGCCGACAGTAACTACCTAAAGAAGAAGTGCGAAAATTTGGATGAATTGTATAGCTCTGATGTTGATGGTCAGCGGCTATATGAAGAAATTTTGAATTGCAGAATGTTGCTACCAAATCGGGCCAACACGAAAATGCCAAGACCTGAAGAGCTTCTCGAATTTATTGTTCAGAACAGGAAAGACTGTACTATAACTTAAATTGCCAGGCACACCATCTAAGGGGGACAAAAAGATACAAAACATCCAGGCCATGGGAAATTCTGGGTAGCCACAGCCACTCAAGGAGAGGTTTTTTAGTGTCAGGAAGGAAAAAGAACTGGCAGGAAATGGCAGAAAACGTACGCCAAATCCAGTCATTTCTGGAGTGGAACCACAGTCGATGGCCTCCACTCCAAACCAACAGATACAGATACTAGTACCGGAAAAAAGAGTCCCCGCCAGTACCACCAATACCACCAGTCCGATGACATTCTTCTTTGCAATTATACAGGGTCTAAAGCCAGCAACGAACAACAAAATACCTTTCATCAGTGGACTGCTTGCAGAGGCAAATGCAATGTTCGCGGCTTTCACAGAGACCCACATGAAGGATCACTTGGACAATGAAATATGGATCCCAGGTTACAACCTATACAGATGCGACAGAGTGAACAGGCAAAAAGGGGGGTTGGCCTGTATATCGCAGAGTCACTCGTTTGCACAGAACTGCTTAATGCCTCAAATGACGTAGTGGAAGTTTTAGCAGTAAAGATCGAGAACCAAAACCTAGTCATTGTGGTAGTCTACAAGCCTCCTTGAATTTGTATTGATAAAGCCACTGGATGGCGAAACGTCTACAATAAAGATACCCAGATGTTGCACATGTGTCTTGATTTCATCTTGTCGGTATTATATACCATTCTTACACAACAAGCCTCCGGATGCAACGTCCCAGCAATTCCAGAAACAGCTGTTAAAAATTTACCATTCTGGAAAATCTTCCAGCTCCTGCCCCCAACATTTTGCTCCTGGGGGATTTCAACTTGAGGCACCTAAAATGGAGGAATATAGCAAATAATGTTGTTGCAGTGATACCACCATGAGGCAGCACTGACGAGAACTCACACACACACGAGCTTTTAAATCTCAGCACAAAATTCAACTTAAACCAGCAAATAACAGAGCCTACTAGACTGGAGAATACACTAGACCTCATCTTCACTAACAATGATGATCTGATACGAAATGTCACCATATCAAAAACAATATACTCAGATCACAACATAATCGAGGTTCAGACATGTATGCGCGGAGCCCCAGACCGACAGAATGAGATTAGTCACAAGGGAGCCTTCACAAAATTCATCTTCAATAACAAGAACATAAAGTAAACCAAGTCCTAAACGATATAAGCTGGGAAGATAGACTAAGCAACACAGACCCCCAACTTATGCCTAGAACAGATTAACTCGGTGGCACTCGATGTATGCTCAAGGCTTATTCCTTTAAGAAAAAGGAGGAGTAGATGTAAAATAGAAAGAGACAGGCACTCCCTTTACAGGCGATGGAAAAGAATAACAAAGCGGCTAAAAGAGGCCAATACATCCGAAATGCGTAGGGAGTCACTGGTCAGAGAAATAGCAAACATCGAACTTAAGCTAAAGGAATCTTATAGGAGTCAGGAATCGCTGGAAGAAATAATGCCATAAATGAAATCGAAAGAAATCCAAAGTATTTCTTTTCTTATGCCAAATCAAAGTCGAGAACAACTAGGCTCCTACTTAAACAAGATGGGTCCTACACAGATGACAGCAAGGAAATGAGTGAGCTACTCAAGTCCCAATATGACTCAGGTAATAGCAAGCCGCTAACCAGACTGAGAGTCGAAGATCAAAATGAATTTTTTATGAGAGAGCCACAGAATTTGGTTAACACAAGCCTATCTGATGTTATCCTGACGCCAAATGACTTCGAACAGACGATAAATGACATGCCCATGCACTCTGCCCCAGGGCCAGACTCATGGAACTCCGTGTTCATCAAGAACTGCAAGAAGCCCCTATCACGAGCTTTTACCATCCTATAGAGAGGGAGCATGGGCACGGGGGTCGTCCCACAGTTACTAAAAGCAACAGACATAGCCCCACAAAGGGGGCAGTAAAGCAATGGCAAAGAACTACAGACCGATAGCACTAACATCCCATATCATAAAAATCTTTGAAAGGGTCCTAAGAAGCAAGATCGCCACCCATCTGATACCCATCAATTACACAACCCAGGGCAACATGGGTTTAGAGCAGGTCGCTCCTGTTTGTCTCAGCTACTGGATCACTACGACAAGGTCCTAGACCCCCTAGAAGACAAAAAGAATGCAAATGTAATATATACAGACTGCAAAAGCCTTCGACAAGTGTGACCATGGCGTAATAGCGCACAAAATGAGTGCTAAAGGAATAACAGGAAAAGTTGGTAGATGGATCTATAATTTCCTCACAAACAGAACACAAAGAGTAGTAGTCAACAGAGTAAAGTCTGAGGCGGCTACGGTGAAAAGCTCTGTTCCACAAGGCACAATACTCGCTCCCATCTTGTTCCTCATCCTCATATCTGACATAGACAAGGATGTCAGCCACAGCACCGTGTCTTCCTTTGCAGATGACACCTGAATCTGCATGACAGTGTCTTCCATTGTAGACACTGCAAGCCTCCAGGCGGACATCAACCAAATCTTTCAGTGGGGTGCAGAAAAAATATGAAGTTCAACGATGAGAAATTTCAATTACTCCTATATGGTAAACATGAGGAAATTAAAACTTCATCAGAGTACAAAACAAATTCCTTCCACAAAATAAAGCGAAAAACCAACGTCAAATACCTGGGAGTGATCATGTCGGAGGATCTCACCTTCAAGGACCATAACATTGTATCAATCGCATCTGCTAGAAAAATGACATGATGGATAATGAGAACCTTCAAAACTAGGGATGCCAAGCCCATGATGACACTCTTCAGGTCGCTTGTTCTATCTAGGCTGGAATATTGCTGCACACTAACAGCACCTTTCAAGGCAGGTGAAACTGCTGACCTAGAAAATGTACAGAGAACCTTCACGGCGCGCATAACGGAGATAAAACACCTCAATTACTGGGAGCGCTTGAGGTTCCTAAACCTGTACTCCCTGGAACGCAGGCGGGAGAGATACATGATTATATACACCTGGAAAATCCTAGAGGGACTAGTATCGAACTTGCACACGAAAATCACTCACAACGAAAGCAAAAGACTGGCAGACGATGCAACATCCCCCCAATGAAAAGCAGAGGTGTCACTATTACGTTAAGAGACAATACAATAAGTGTCAGGGGCCCGAGACTGTTCAACTGCCTCCCAGCATACATAAGGGGGATTACCAATAGACCTCTGGCAGTCATCAAGCTGGCACTGGACTAGCACCTAAAGTCGGTACCTGACCAGCCGGGCTGTGGCTCGAACGTTGGATTGCGTGCAGCCAGCAGTAACAGCCTGGTTGATCAGGCTCTGATCCACCAGGAGGCCTGGTCACAGACCGGGCCGCGGGGGCGTTGACCCCCGGAACTCTCTCCAGGTAAAGTCCAGGTAAATGCCATAATTTGATTTTATGGTACAGTTATCTAAAAGATGGGAGTTAGATGTTAGGACTGGGGCGCAGTTTCAGTGTTTTCCATAGGCGCTATTTTCCGTAGATATGCCCCTACCTCCCTGTGATTCTTCTGCTTCTTTAGCTACTACCTAAAGACGGATGCTACTTTTATCCTACCTACGACGGCTTTGACCGATGTCTGGCGCTTTAGACGTGGAGTTAGCGTCCATCTCCATAATTCATTCCATTAATAGGCCAATTCGAGAGCACAAACATTGCTACTGTCCGAATGGTTCATCTGCACATTCAGCTGCCAGTTATTAACGCCCTCTGACTCCCCACACATCTGGCTCATAGTTACCATCTACGCCTTTTGCTCATCCTCCATGCAGCTTAACCTGTCAATGTCCGCTTTACTGAGTCCCTTGATTATTTTGTACGTCGTGATCAAGCCCTTGCTAAACCTCCTTCTCTTCTAGGAGGGTTAAGAGCACTTTTGTTCTCTCCTCGGGCACACACAACAAAAAACACACACGCATCAGATGGCATCTTTCCGTTGCATGCGATTTCAGACCAGTTTTTGTCTCTCAGCTTTCTGAAGCAGTCTCTGGGGGCGCCCCTTCCCTCCACACACACACACACACACACACACACACACACACACACACACACACACACACACACACACACACACACACACCAGGAGCTGTGAACAGACCCTGCAACCATAAATAGGTGAGTACACACACACACAGCCTTAGAGTTGTCAGGAAGTGGAACAATCTGGAGAGTGAAGTAGTGGAGGCAGGATCCATACATAGATTTGAGATAAGGTACAATAAGGCTCTTGAAACAGGGAAAAACTGGACATAGTAATGACTAGAGAAGAGGCGAGGCCAAGAGCTGTAAATCGATCCCTGTAACCACAAATAGGTGGTTACAGTACAAATAAGTTAGCATTCTCTCTCTCTCTCTCTCTCTCTCTCCCTCCATATCTCCCTCCTTCACACACACTCACCGTGAAGGCCGCCTGCACTGCTGCAGGCACCTCTACCTCCATTAAAGTTGCCCGAGACCCAAGCTGAGTATCTATCGATAACCTCTCACCCCCCCTCCACCTCCTCCTCCCACTGAGTGCGGATAACTGTCCATGAGTTCACTGTCCAATGACACTCTCATTCCCTCTCTTTCTCTCTCTCTCTCTCTCTCTCTCTCTCTCTCTCTCTCTTCTCTCTCTCTCTCTCTCTCTCTCTCTCTCTCTCTCTCTCTCTCTCTCTCTCATTCCTTCGTAAAAAGCTGGTTCCGCTGGCCTCTCCTAGACAAAATTAAGACATAATTTAGACTTGTCTCACATCAAGATCTCATTATCTTTCCTAAAATGTATAACGAAAGTAGACGCAAGAATAACGACAACCAAAATAATATAAAATAAATGATGATAACATTAATAAGAATAACTGAAACTCCTTGACGAGGGTTTCCTTAATGCTGACGAAGCGCTCTTGATCCAGTGAACTGGATCAACCTTCCAGTTCGCTGACCCCTTTTTCCCAGGACACTGACCCTTCCGGGTTTAGGAATTCTCAATAATGCTCAGTAATAGCCCACTGGGAGACAGAAACTCAGGAGATTAATTGGTCTGTATATTTCGACCCCCTTCTGGGACCCTCTTCAGCTGAAGATCTGATGAGGAGGATCCCAGAAAGGATCGAAATATTCAAATCAATGAACAGTCTGTGTTTTTTGTCTTCAGGTGGGTTATTACTGAGTATTCTGAATTATAATAATTGTCAGCATAGTTGCTGATCCCTTGTATATGTATATGTTATCTGAGTATAATAGTACCATCCATATGTTTTACATACACGACCCCTTGATAGGCTCAGTGACTAGTTTGTATGACGTCACGTGATGCCGATGTGAGAGCTGCGCTCCCGGCCCTAGGCCTCAGTTCCCCGTAGTCCTAGCAGGCGACAGGACAAGCAGTTTGGGCTCTCCCTTATCACAGTCTACAATATAAGCGTTAACACCCAACGACTTGAGTTTGACTCCAACCATCAAATCTCCACGAACCCTCTCAACATAATTATTAGGGAATGATTATTAATCTGAACATTCTGAATTATAATAATTATTAGAGAATAATTATCCTGAATGAAGGAGAGGTATCCCTGGAAGGGCATCCCTGGAGGGGTATCTCTGGAGAGCTATTCCTGGAGGGGTATCTTTGGAGAGGTATCCCTGGAGGGGTATCCCTGGAGGGGGTATCTCTGGAGAGCTATTCCTGGAGGGGTATCTTTGGAGAGGTATCCTTGAAGGGGTATATTTGGAGGGGTGTCTATGGAGAGGTATGCCTGAATGGTTGTCACTGGAGGGGTATCCTTGGAGAGGTATTCTTGGAGGGGTATACCTGGAGGGGTATCCCTGAAGGGGTATTTCTGGAGATTTATCCCTGAACGGATAGCTCTGGAGGGTTATCCTCAAAGGGATATCTCTGGAGAGGTATCCCTGGAGATGTATCCCTGAAGGGGTATCCCTGGAGAGGTATTCCTGGAGAGGTACACCTGGAGGGGTATCCCTGAAGGGGTATCTCGGGTGGCGTATCCCTGAAAGGGTATCTCGGGTGGCGTATCCCTGAAGGGATATTCCTGAAGAGGTATCCTTGAAGGGATATCTCTGGAAAGGTGTCCCTTGCGGGGTATCTCTGGAGAGGTATCCCTGGAGAGGTATCTCTGGAGAGGTATTCCTGAAGGGGTATCCATGAAGAGGTATCCCTGGAGGGTGCGTCTAAGTGCTTACCTGAAATCGCTGAAATCTGTGCAATTACTGTAGAATGTTTTCGTTGGTCGGCTTCAAACTTTGTGCTCATGTGTTTGCTAAAAAATAGTTTATCGTGGTGTTGTTGGGCAGCGTCAGCTCCAATTTGTCTTTTATGGAAAACTTATTTTGATACTGATTTCCATTCAGTACCTTAAGAATGCTTCTTCTGGTCGTCTTCAAACCTTTAACTGTAGTATGTATTTTCTTGATGGATTCAGAATTTCATTGTTAATGTGTCTTAGAGGAAGATATATTAGGCTGATGGGCTTTGTAGCCTCGAATTTGCTAATATGGAGCATCTTTCCCCTTCCTCGTATCAAACATGATTACCTACCATTCCTCACACGTCGCTTGACCTCTATAGCTTAAGCGCTTTTCTATAATAGCAATACACAAATAACCCGCATATAGGAGGCAGAAGCTTTTGACAACGTTTCGGTCTGAGTTGGACCACTTGGACGACTTCTTAATAATCCAAGTCTGACTATAACGTCGTTATAAGCTAACCTCCAGGTATGTGCGGGTTATCTGTGTATTCCAGTCGCGGTATTGTGCTTTTTGTTCTTTATAATAACAAAAGTAATAAGAATAAAAATAAGACTAAGAAATAAGAATAAGAATTATATGGAGGAGTGCCACGAGGTCATGCAGAGGACTGATACATTACAAGCAGTGTGTGGATGGTGAAGCGTGAGTCTCGTGGCCTCGCACTACTGGCTGGGTCATTCAGGAAGCAGAGCGATTTTCTGTGCCTTCTCATCTACTGGAGGTAACTCCTGCCTTCTGCAAGCAGGTACTCAGTGGGTTTATCCCTGGTCTCGTCAGTCCGGTGGCAGCTGGAACACTTATTTTCAGAAAGTGGTACAGATTTTAAGTTCTCGTGGGTCATCTCCCCCCCCCCGTCTGTAGGAGCCCACGTGCCATGGACTCAACGAATGACGAGGTATCTGGGGCGGTGTGCACGAGAAAGGTGGAAGGAGGTGGGGGGATGGAGCAGGGGAGTGGTGGGGAAGGTAGGAATGGAGTAGCGAATTTGGAAATGGGGCGGTGGGTGGGTCGGTTTGCGGTGCGACCCTGGCCTGCAACGACACACCCCCACCACTCACTCTCCATAAGGTGATGGGGTCGGTGGTGCCCACGGGTGAGTGCTCGCCATCACGGTGCAGGAGACAAACACACATGCGTCTCACCTGGGAAAGAGGCGTGGAAGGCTGCTTCGTGTGCCTTCCTGTGTTGTGAAGGTCGTCCCGAGAACACAGGCCTTCCTACTTCTGCCGCAGAAGTGGACAGTTTACTGTGCACACCATATCTATCCTATGGACATCAATGAAAAAACAAGGGCATATACAACGCCTAGGAATTGGGCCGCCCAAAGAGATACATATATCTAAATCAAGACTTATTTATTGACTGTCCACAGTAATGAAGAGACAGTAATGCAAAGCAAGCTTGTATGGTGACATTGTTTACTTCGGTACAGAGCTTTACACAGCGAAGACCCCTCACGATAACATTTGTTCTGCGCCTGTGTCTTCCAGGGCCACCCAGCGAACTTGACTGGTTACACTAGCGAATCTCATCAGCAAGACCTGAGATCATTTCTCAGGAAGAAATATACAGTAATCGTTCACAAGGGGGAATTCACCAAGAAGGCAGATCCGCTAGTGAGACACACACACACACATACCTTGAAGGCAGATCCGCTAGTGAGACATACAACACACACATACCTTGAAAGCAGATCCGCTAGTGAGACACACACACACACATACCTTGAAGGCAGATCGGCTAGTGAGACACACACACACACTGTTACAAATAACACGATTTCTAATAAGCATAGAGATCTCCAGTGAATTCTAGAAAGGACTGCCCTTCTAGCATCCAGCCTGTTATTGGATTTTTGTAACAAGTAGTCAGTATCCTGGTCCATTTATCCATTATAATTTAATAAGATTCAATAGTGCTTCAGGATTACAACTGGTAGGCTACTAACTAAAGAAATTAAAATTTAATTAGTTTATTTATAACAAAATTGTCTAGGCGTATATTATCAAAGTAAATTATAGTAATCAATTGAATATAATATAGGATACAAGTTCCTACACTTCTCTCGTGCACAGTAGTGTTGTGCTGAAGGCACACATCACTTCTTTATAGCTTTTAAGTACCGTCTGGTACATTGTTAGCATTTAATAACATAATACAAATATATACAAGTAAGTTTGTGTGTATGTTTGTAAGTGCTCTAAGTAGTTCGCTATGTCTCAAGACTCGACTAGACTTAACCAGTGACTGACTAAAAGTCCTCACATAAATTAACTTCTTGACAAACCTGGCAATCAGAACAGCTTGCTTGAACAATAAAACGACTGATAAGCCGAGCAGCAATATAACAAGCAATAGCAACACAAAATCAGGAACAAGGAGATAATATAACGACACTAAGTAGGGACCATCTGCAGATCCTCCACAAAAGTCACAAAACTCCCATACCACTGAATCTAAGTTCAGCATAAGAAAATCCCCGACTGTGACAGTGCACAGATACCAGTACAAGTTAGGTCAGAAGCTACAGCTCAGGACCTGAGTTTCTCAGAGTGTCTATGAGACACACAACCTCAGTACAACGTCGAAAATCACTAAGTCTAGACTATGTTCTGTGAACAGAGTTACACAGAACAACAACAAGAAAGCGACAGAGACGATCTTCCAACAAGGGCCAGCAAGGTAGAGCTAGAGGCATGTCTTGTTAGAAGAACGTCCAACAGAAAATCGCTAGTGCAGGCCAGCTAGACTACTCCAGGTGAGGTGTGATCACCCCATCCCCTTATCACGTGACTCTCTGTGCTGCTGCTGCCCAGCAACACGGAGAAGCCGGCAGCATAACGAGTGAAACGCTTGTTAGACAAGGCCGTCAGCTACTTAACACTTGAACTATGAGCACTGAATAATATATAAATGTTACATCCTACCTAATAATATAACTAAGTCAAATAATAATATAAAGCAATATATTTACGAATTAGCTAATATCGCAAATATAAGCAATATTAAATTTTATGAACAGGTAATATACATTATATACATTGTGACCCATTCAGGGGTCGCAACACACACATACCTTGAAGGAAGATCTGCTAGTGAGACACACCACATACATATACCTTGAAGGAAGATCCACTAGTGAGACACACCACACACACATACCTTGAAGGAAGATCTGCTAGTGAGACACAACACACACATACCTTGAAGGAAGATCTGCTAGTGAGACACACAACACACACATACCTTGAAGGAAGATCTGCTAGTGAGACACACAACACACACATACCTTGAAGGAAGATCCGCTAGTGAGACACACACACATACACACATACCTTGAAGGAAAATCTGCTGGTGAAACACACATACCACGCATCAACAGGGAAGTGTAGTGCTTGTTTGATGTTGCTCCTTGATTCCGTGCACTCAAGCACACGGGGTCACCCTTTCCTCCTACATCAACTCTTTAAGAGGGCAGCTGCAAACCCAAATATTAAATATATAAAGTGAAACACTAAAGTGGTGTGGATCATTCACTACACGATGCGGAGGCTCGACCCTCCGCCAGCTAATCGCAAGTCACGCTCCAATAAAATGCATACCGGTTAGAGCATAAATTTTAGATGGAAAGTGTAAGTGTAACAGGTATGTAGGGCATGTGTGCGTGTATGTATATATATATATATATATATATATATATATATATATATATATATATATATATATATATATATATATATATATATAATATATCTTCTTCTTTCTTTCAACACACCGGCCGTATCCCACCGAGGCGGGGTGGCCCAAAAGGAAAAACGAAAGTTTCTCCTTTTACATTTAGTAATATATACAGGAGAAGAGGTTACTAGCCCCTTGCTCCCGGCATTTTAGTTGCCTCTTACAACACGCATGGCTTACGGAGGAAGAATTCTGTTCCACTTCCCCATGGAGAATATATATATATATATATATATATATATATATATATATATATATATGGTGCACAAGACTTAAAAGATACACTGCTGGTATAAAGACGTCATATACAGTGTATTAGGTTTGAGGGATACATTTCAAGTACATATTGCTACGAATTTGTCACATATTACAATGCGAAAATCTCATCCAACCCCACAGAGCCGGGCGCGTACCCAGGATACAGCATTTATTATCCATCTGAACCACAGCGCTGACTCGCTGGAATAGAAAACTAACCGCCCTGGGATCCCTAGTTACCCTGATGAGTATTTTGCCTAACTCCTTAAGGAACTGAGATGCACTCTTTCCCCATGGGCCAAGAGTCTCTGAGTCTTTGAAAGCAAACTTATAATGACTGGTAAGTTCACAGTATTTTCTAGACTTTTGGGACTCCCTGAAGCTGACAGCTGTACCTCCTTCTTCCCTGGTGTACTAGAGATAGGTATCACCTAATGTGGAGGCACATGTGTAGTCCCACACCACCTGCTTACCGTCTGTCCAGGCTTGAAGGGTGATGCATAGTTGGGGTGGCTGGCTGTTGTGAGGCTCCTCTCCATGTTATTAACCTCTTCATGCCTTGCAATCTTTCCCTCGGATCTAGGGCACACAAGACCATGGTACCTGAATCGGCTTGCCGATTCACTGCCGCAAATACACCAGTGTTCGGTGAGAAAAGGACCGGCAAGGTGAGGGGAAATACCAGTGCAGATGATCTGTGGTCGAGAAGTGTGCGAAGGGAGGAATTGGGAGCAGCCAACAAGAAATCCCTTTTCATGATGAGCTCTCATTGCTAGAAGCCGGGCTCTATCCTTCCCCGAAACACTCCTAAGCGTTGTTGAGTCTATATTCTCCACTACTGGGTTGGGTACTTTCCTAAAGATTTGCCTAAGGATACTCTCGTATTCATGCAGTATAGGGTTATCATCATATGAGGGTACACATCCTAGGGAATATGTTAACCTGGGCAGATTCAAGCACTTTGTGAGAAGGTACAAGGCATCATGGGTGTCAAGACTGCCTATTCGTTGTTCCATCCTCCTCAACTCGTTCAGTTTCTTTCTGAGAATTGAGTGAATGGCATCAGTTCCCAGAGGTGCTTAAAGCATCAGTCATTGGGGGTAATGACTGATGCACCTGGTAGTCTTGATTACACTGCCTCGATCACTTGTTGATTGACTGAGATGATTTCACATCTAGATGGATTCAGGATGAGTCCCATTTTCTGTTCCCGTGTCATCCCCTGGGTAAGATAATCTAGAGGGGATTCCTTTGTACCTGCTAGTATGCCATTATCCAGGAACCAGATGTTTAGCTCATTGGTCAGCTTGACAGTGATTTCCCTATACACAAGAGAAATGGTGCGAGAGGATCCCCTTGCTGGACACCGTCATGACATCTCTTTTCAGGAGATAAAATGCCCTCTTGAAATATAATTATACCACTGTATTGTTTTCAGGTATGTTGTTGATATACGCCCTTGTTGCATGACCCGCTGCTTCACTTCAGCATCAGCCTTACTAGAGATATTAATATCTCTAGTAAGGCTGATGCGTGCAGGGGATGAGATGAAAAGCTGTAAGCCTTCTCCCTGAAAGCTGGCTACCTTGGATCAAAATCTAGTGCAAGCTGGGCTCCAAGGTATTGGTCCAGTGTGGGTAGATTGGTAAAGCACTGCATACCTTGTTCCAAGGTTCGTAGGTTCGAGTCTCCTTCAGCCAGAGATCAGTGTTTGTGTATATTTCGCCTGCTCTTGCAAATTCCTTGCATATATATATATATATATATATATATATATATATATATATATATATATATATATATATATATATATATATATATATATGTGCGTGCGTGTGTGTGTGTGTGTGTGTGTGTGTGTGTGTGGGTGTGTGTACTCATTTGTTGTTGCAAGGGTTGAGACTTAGCTCCTGGCCTCGCCTCGTCACTGATCGCTACTAGGTCCTCTCTCTCCCTGCTCCATGAGCTATATGTATGGTTCCTGCCTTCACTGCCTAACTTGCCAGACTATTCCACTTCCTGACAACTCTGTGATTGAAGAAATACTTCCTAACATCTCTTTGACTTATCTGAGTCTTCAACTTCCAATTGTGACCATCGTTTCCGTGTCCCATCTCTGGAACATCCTGTCTCTGTCCACCATATCTATTCCTCGCAGTATTTTGTATGTCGTTATCATGTCTCCCCTAACCTTCCTGTCCCCCAGTGTCGTCAGGCCGATTTCCTTTAACCTTTCTTCGTAGGACATTCCTCTTAGCTCTGGAACTAGT